TCTCGAATGTTTTATAGTATAGAGCTGAAAAGCCGTCTGGTCCTGGTGTTTTTGTAATGTCCAGCTTCTTTATTGCTTTTTGTATTTCCTGGTTTGTTATTTCTTTGTTTAAGTTCTCTCTATGTTTTTCTGAAATCTTTTCCAGTTTTTGTTTTCCTAGATAGTATGTAATTTCGTCCATTTGAGATTGGTCATTTGAGTATAGCTTGCTATAATAATTGTTGAATTGTTTTATTATATCTCTATCTTTAGTGTATTCCTTGTCCTCTGTGGCGATCTTTGTTATATATTGCTTTTGTTTCTTTTTTCCAATCCTACGTGCCAACCAAGTTCCAATTTTATTTGCGTTGTAGAAGTATGATTGTTTCACAAATTTTAACTTTTTTGCTATTATTTCTGTTTCCAATTCTATTCTCATTTTTTGAAGTTTTGCTATTTCAAAGGTTAATTCTGAGCTTTGGGGAGTTAGTTTCAGTTTTCTTTCAGCTTCATCCAGTTTACTTATTATCTTGTTCATCTGTGCATTTCTTTTTTTGTTTCTTATCGCCATTTGCTGAATACACATTCCTCTCATCACAGCCTTTCCCGCATCCCAGACTGTTTGTATATCAAGCTCTTCTGTTTCATTTGTGGCGAAGTAGTTGTTTAGATGTGTTCTGAGAATTTGTTGTGTTTCTTGGTCTTTCATTAGATTGTCGTTTAGGCGCCAGGTGCTTTGTCTACTTTTTTGGTTATATATCACTTCTATTGGGCTGTGGTCCGAGTCTTTTCTGGTGAGTATCTCAATCCGATCGATCTTGGATGCTAGTGAAAATGAGTTCCACACCATGTCTATTCTGGACCAGCTTCTATGTCTCCCCAAATAGAAAGTGAAGTCCTGTTCGCCTGGATGATGTAGTCTCCACATATCTAGTAGATTTAATTCTTTTAACAGGTTTGTCATTGTCTGGGGGAGCAGGTTTGTCTTTATAGTTTTCTGTCTTCTGTCTTCTGATTTCCTATCTTCCTTGCTATTGATGACTCCGTTGAAGTCGCCCATTAATATGAGATGGTCGAATTCAATTTCCTTAATTAGGTTGTCGAGTTTTTGTGTAAATTTTGTTTTCGGGCCATTTGGTGCATAGATGTTGCACACTAAAGTTTTTTGGTTGTCTAATGTTAAGGTAATTCCTATTATTCTTCCATCATCGTCTTTGAGGACTTGTTGTGGGTCTAGTGCTGGATTTGCGTAAATAATTACCCCTCTTTTCTTTTCTTGAGCTAATGAGTAAAATTCTGTGCCTAAATGTTTTTGAGTTAGGTGTTTAGCATGTTTCTGTGCAATGTGAACTTCTTGCAGGGCTATCAGGTCGTATTTCCCTTGTTTGATCCTGTTAAAGACTCGCCTTCTCTTATTTGGTGAGTTCAGACCGTTGATGTTCTGACTGTAGCACTTAATTGTCCTTTCCATGTTCTTCTTGTTTTTCCGCTATTTTCTCCATCCTTACAATTGATGCTGACGTGCATGGGGATGTCTCTGGTTTTTCTGGAGATTCTGTCCTTGAGCGTTTTACTTGCATTTTTTGTCCTAGGATGTATTCATATTCCTGTTCATTTTTGTTCCTCTGTATTGTTTTCAAAAAATCCGCTGCTTTATCTTCTGAAGTTATCCATATTTTTTCATTTTTATAGGTAGCCATTAGGCCTTCACCTTTTTCCCATCTAAATCTGATGTGTTGTCTTTTAAGTTCGTCCGCTAATTCCTTATATTTTTTCCTTTTCTGAAGTGTTGATTGTGTGAATTCTTTTAAGATGATTACTTTCTTCTCTTTATAGTATGGTGGGGTTTTAGCGCTTTTCCTAAGAATTTCGTCTCGGATGTGCTTTCGGCCAAATTGCACTATTACGTCCCGTTCCACTTTGTGTTTTCTGGCGTATCTCGTTGTTATCCTGTATGATCTATCAATGTTTGTTGCCGCATCTTCTTCAGAGATTTCTAACAATTCTGCTGTTATTGCTGTTACTATTTGCCGCAGGTTCTCTTGGGCTTCCTCTTGAATATTACGGAATCTTAGATAGTATTCCAATTCTTTTTGTTCAGCTTGTTCCTGTCTTGCTTCCAGTCTTTCTTCTTTTATTTCTATTTCTTCTAATTTGTCTTTTATTTTTTCTTGCATCTTTTCTAGGTTGGCCATCTCCGTCTGGTTCTTCCTCATTTCTTGTCTCATTGCGTCCATTTCTTTTTTCATTTCTCCCAGTTCGTTAGTGATCTCTTTTCTCATTTTTGTCATTTCCTCTGTTATGTCATTCTTTAGTCTCATTCTTTGGTCTTCAGCCACCTTTTGATAGGCGTCTTGTTTTTCTTGATATGCCTCCTGTTGTTCTAGTATTTTCTGGATTTCCTTTAAGATTTCTTTTCCTGTTGGATTTCCTGAGACCGATCCTCTTCTTTGTTCTACTTGCTCTTTTTTTTCACTTGTTTCAATTTTTTCCATTTTGGTCTTGGGCGTTGTCATATTTAGCCAAATTTGCAAGCTTTTGGTGATTTTTGCAGCCGTGTTTTTTCTCCCCCACCTCCTTCCCTAATTTGTGACTATTTTTTTTTGGTGGGTGTGGTTTATTTAGTTCTTAGTTTTATTATTCAATTATTTAATATATATTATATATTTCTAACTGTTTCTTACCCCTTCTCGTTCTCGTGCCCGGGTCTCTTCTCTCTTGGCTTTTCTTCTTAGTTCCTCCTTTGTGTCTCTCTCCTTTTTTTTTTAAATTTCCGTCACTTCCGCCTTCTCCCCTAATAGAGCGTCGCGTGCTTTTATGTTCTTTCTTTAGAGAGCGCGCCTCGTGAGTGCCCGCTGCTGCCTTCTCCCTTTTTGTTACCTTTTATTTCTATTCTCTCAGGGGAGCTCTTTTCGCGGTGCACCACTTCCGCCTTCTCTCCTTCTAAGGTTCCGCGTGGATTTGTTTCTGGGGGGAGCGCGCTACGTGGTTACACCACTTCCGCCTTCTCCCTTCCCAGAGTGCCACGCTACAGATTTGCTCCTCCTTCACTTTGTCTCGCCGCTGACTGCTCTTCTTCCTTGCTGTTTTTGTAAGGGGAGTGCGCCTCGTGACTTACTCTTATCTGAACGTTATCAGGAGGAGACCAATGGGAGGTCACTTCAAGGTATTTGCAGCGTTTTCAAGGCTATAATGGCGCTTGTGTTCTCCTCTGCCTTATTCAATGTTTTTGGTTTTGATTTTGCGGGTCTTTAAAGCCCTTAGAGCCCCGAGCCTTTCAAGCTTGCAACTTCTGTTCTGGTTTATTGCTGTATTTAAGCTTATATTTATTATAATCTTCCACTGTTTCTGTTCTTTCTTCCTCTGTTTCCACTAATTTCTCCTATCCTCCCGCACTGCGTCTATCCGAATCCAAATCCCAATCTAAATCCAAGTTTAAGTTTTTAGTTTAGTTATTTGGCCAATCGGATATTATGATAATCGTTGTCTTTGTTTCTTATTGCTCCTCTTATTGCCCCTCTTGCTTCTCTTCAGGCTTGATTCTTATTCTCTTTTTCTCTTATTCTCTTATGTTCTTGATCTTTATTAGCCTTGCTTTACTCTACCTGCTTTCTCTCTAGGTTCTACTTGCCTTCGCCTAATTTCTGTGCTGGCTATACTGTACTGTCTTGATCTTCTCAGTCTTCCCTCCTACTTCTCGATTGATTCCTGCGCTCTCCTTCTTTGATTTGAGGGGATTTGAGTAACTCACCTCTGCGTGTGAATCTCCACCGTCCTTCAAAGTGGCGATCGGTCAGCTGTAGTTCCTCTATTCCAGATCTCTGGATGAGGATGCCTCTTACGCCAGCCGCTACCCTCTCCTGTCCGGGTCTATTGGCCGACCTCCTTGAGAGGGGTCCACACTTAGACCGTCGGACTGGATTGTAGGGGGCTTTGTGTTGCTCTGGCACTCAATCCGGCCCGAGGTTGGAGGTTCGATTTGCCTCCGCTGGGCAGTATAAGAGGCTGACTCAAAGGAGCTCCTCCGGAGTCCAGCCAGCCGCCATGACGCCAACTCTTGGATGTAGTTGATCTGGCCCTGGGGGCTTGAATTCATTTAGAGCAGCCAGATATCCCTGGCTGCTCTAAAGTGGATCCATAACTTGCCTGTAAACGAGCCAGTTTTTTTCCTCTTGCCTTTCTTCATGGTCCAGTTACATTTGAAGGCCTTATTGAGATAACCCAACTGCCAACAGCTGGGCATTTCGACTTTTGTGGTCAGAAGATCCAGAACTATAATTCGAGGAATTCACTGGCACATATCCATTTCAAAATTATCCTCTCCTGGGTGGCCATCTGTTGGGAGGGCTTTGGTTGTGGCATGGCAGAGAGGGGTTGGACTGAATGGCCCTTGGGGCCTCTTCTAACTCTAATAATAATAACAATGTTTGCTAGATGTTCATCTGTCGGGAGAGCTTCAGTTGTGTCGTGGTGACATAGAGTTGGACTGGATGGCCCTTAGAGTCTCTTCCAAGAACAACAACAACAACATCTGCTCTGACATTATGCATGGCTTGTTTGAGTGATGAGTAAGTTTCTTTAAATTGCTAAGCAATTGGAAAGTAGATGGAGATGAGGCATAATCCCATGAAACAAACAGAACAGATGGAAGACCTCTAGCTTCTGGGGTTCCTTTAATACCCCTATTTGCTCCTTCACATCCATTCCTTCATCCAGCTGCTAAGGATGTAGTTCAAGCAATGAGTAAGTGATGTCACAAGGGCAGTTTTAAGCTACTAATGGTGAGCAGGTGAGAGATGCTTGGCTGTGTGGGAAGGACCAGGCTCGGTTCCTGCACTTGGAGGCTGATTTGGAAGCCTCTTCCAAAGGAGAGGCGATCCCGTGGCCTTGATTGGGAGCATCATCTCGGGTTGTTCATGTTGCCTCAAAAGGCCCCCCAACCAGCTCTCCAAGATGCCCAGGTGAGGCCCAGATGTCCCGGCAAATGGTCCACGCTGTAGCCTTGTCTCCAGGAAGTTGCCATGTGGTTCTCCCTGGTGTCGCTACCTTCCTTGGTAGCCTTCTCCTTGATGATGGATGCCATCTTGGCCAAACCATTTGTCCACCTGGTCTACACTCACAACTCCACCTGCCTAGACTTCAAAGCCATCCCGGCCTGCTTCGGCCCTCCACTCCCCCGCAAGGGCTTCAAGGGATACCTGGTTGAGGCCGTGCCCGCCAACGCCTGCCTGCCCATCGAGGCCCCTCCAGCCTCGGATGGGTCTCAGACGGGTTTCATTGCCCTCATCCGTAGGTATGACTGCCCCTTCGGTACCAAGGTCCTCCATGCCCAACAAGCTGGGTATCAGGGCGCCATCATCCACAACCTTTACTCTGATCTGTTAGTGAGCATGGCCATTGAAATCCAGATGGTCCGGCGGCAGGTCTCTATTCCTTCCCTCTTTGTTGGAGGCTCAGCTGCCAGGCTTTTGAAGAGACAAATACGCGAGCGGAACGGTACCAAAATCACCACTGTGGTGCCAAGAGGTTATTACAATCCCTGTGGAGACAACGTAGAGTTCTCCCTTTGGGACCCGGCGCGGCATTATTTACAATTCTGGCCTGGTTACTGTACCCAGCAGATGATCCTCAAGTTCCTCCGAGAGTTTGGGTTCCTGATCCTCCTCGGTGTGGGCTCTGGCATCTTGGCCTTCATCGGTTGGGTGAAATGGAGGCAAATGAAAAGTGGCATCCGAGTGAAGACCTTCCGGAGTGGAGACCGGTATGACTCATGTGTCATCTGCATGGCCGATTACGAAGTGGGAGACCGACTGAAGATCCTCCCTTGCAGCCATGCGTACCACAACACCTGCATCAACACCTGGCTCCTGACCCAACCCAGGACGGAGAAGAGCTGCCCCATCTGCAAGCAAAAGATCAACACTGCAATCTGAAGCATTTGGGGGGGCAGGACAGATGAAGAGAAAGAGGCGGGTGGTGGGTACCATGAACAAGTCCGGAACAAACAACAAGGTTCTCCCAGATGCCAGCTATTGTGCCCTTCGTCTTATTGGGATTCAATATTTAATCACCAAAAGAGGTATAGATGTAGTCTTTGTTTTCTGGTGTATGGGTGAGTGTTTGGGCCTCCCTTTCAGAAGGAAATAACAAAGTGTATTCTTATGGGAAATGTTTAAGGTTGGCACAACAAAATAGGTGTTAGAACAGTGGCATTAAGGAAATAATGTTCTTCACCTAGAAAAGAAAAAGTCTGAAGAGACTGGGGAACATGGGAGACACACGACTCTCATGTTCCAAAGCCCAAAGAGACTGAGGAATACGCGGGGGGGGGGGGGGGGGGGGCGGGGGGGGGGGGGGGGGGGGACACAATTATCATGTTCCAAAGCCCAAAAAGACTGAGACACATTAGTTTCATGGTCTAGAGCCTGACTAGACTGAGGAGCATGGGAGACACACGACTGTCATGTTCTGAAGCATGAAGAGACTAAGGAACACGAGAGACACATTAGTTTCATGTTCTAAAGCCTGACTAGACTGAGGAGCATGGGAGACACACGACTGTCATGTTCTAAAGCCTGAAGAAACTGAGGAACATGGGAGACACATTAATTTCATGTTCTAAAGCCTGACTAGACTGAGGAGCATGGGAGACATACAACTCCCATGTTCTAAAGTCTGAAGACACTGAGGAATACAGGCGATACACAACTCTCTCTCTTTTTAATATATGTTTTTTATTGCTGATACAGGTAGAATAATATCACAATCCATCACCATTTCAGAATACATATCAAATATTATTTTCTTAGTGTTCTTATCCTTACCTATTCCACCTTTAACTCCCACTTGTGTCTTTTGATTTTACATCCCTCTCCCGCTCCCCCCACCCCACCCTCTGGGAACTGTACTTATCTTCATTCAAATATTACTTTAATTGAACAATCGTGGAAAGAGAATGGTTCAGTTCCTTTCCTTCGACTTTATCTATCGATCTTCCCCATTTGTGAACCCAATTCTTCTTGATTTGGCATGATGTATATTTGGCTCTTCTTTCAAAGATGTAGTCTTGGAGCATATAGTCTGCTAAGTAACCGTACCCTTTTTTAACTTCCCTGTTTCTATGGTCTTTCTACCCCAAGGCCACAGTTGCTTGGGTGACAACTATCATGTATTTTATCATTTCCTCCCGAACTTTGAGATTTTCATTCTTGTCTAGTTTTTGGGTGAAAAATTCTTTTTTATCCAAAACCAATTTATGTCCTATTAATTCTTCCATTTCCTTCTTTATCCTATTATAAAATTCTTGTACTCTATTGCATTCTATGCACGACTCTCATGTTCCAAAGCCTGAAGAGACTGAGGAACACGGGAGATGCACGACTCTCATGTTCCAAAGCCTGAAGAGACCAAGGAACACGGGAAATGCATGACTCTCATGTTCTAAATCTTGAAGAGACTGAGGAACACGGGAGACACATTAGTCTCATGTTCAAAATCCTGAAGAGACCGAGGAGCACGGGAGACACATAACTTTCATCTTCTAAAGCCTGATGAGACAGAGGAACACGGTAGACACATGACTCTCACGTTCTAAAGTCTGAAGAGGCTGAGGAACACAGAAGATGCACGACTCCCATGTTCCAAAGGCTGAAGAGATGGAGGAACACAGTAAATGCATGACTTTAATGTTCTAAAGCCTGATGAGACTGAGGAACTTGGGGGGACGCACGACTCTCATGTTCCAAAGCCTGAAGAGACTGAGGAACACGGGAGATGCACGAGTCTCATGTTCCAAAGCTTGAAGAGACTGAGGAACACGGGAGATGCATGACTCTCATGTTCTAAATCCTGAAGAGACTTAGGAGCGTGGGAGACACATGACTTTCATGTTCTAAAGCCTGATGAGACAGAGGAACACGGTAGACACATGACTCTCATGTTCTAAAGCAGGGGTCCTCAAACTAAGGCCCGGGGGCCGAATGCGGTCATTTACCCGGCCCTTGCCTAGGGTCAACCTAAGTCTGTTACAACTTGAAAACACACAACAACAACAATCCTATCTCATCAGCCAAAAGCAGGCCCACACTTCCATTGTAATACTAATAAATTTATATTTGTTAAAATTGTTATTCATTTTAATTATGGTATTGTTTATAAGTGGTTTTTGCACTACAAATAAGATATGGGCAGTGTACATAGGAATTCATTCATTTTTTTCCAAATTATAATCCAGCCCTCCAACATTTTTTGGGACTGTGACCTGGCCCTCTGTTTAAAAAGTTTGAGGACCCCTGTTCTAAAGTCTGAAGAGGCTGAGGAACACAGAAGATGCACGACTCCCATGTTCCAAAGGCTGAAGAGATGGAGGAACACAGGAAATGCATGACTTTAATGTTCTAAAGCCTGATGAGACTGAGGAACTTGGGGGGACGCACGACTCTCATGTTCCAAAGCCTGAAGAGACTGAGGAACACGGGAGATGCCCGAGTCTCATGTTCCAAAGCCTGAAGAGACTGAGGAACACGGGAGATGCATGACTCTCATGTTCTAAATCCTGAAGAGACTTAGGAGCATGGGAGACACATGACTTTCATGTTCTAAAGCCTGATGAGACAGAGGAACACGGTAGACACATGACTCTCATGTTCTAAAGTCTGAAGAGGCTGAGGAACATAGAAGATGCACGACTCCCATGTTCCAAAGGCTGAAGAGATGGAGGAACACAGGAAACGCATGACTTTCATGTTCTAAAGCCTGACGAGACTGAGGAACTTGGGGGACGCACGACTCTCATGTTCCAAAGCCTGAAGAGACTAAGGAACATGGGAGACACATGACTCTCGTATTCTAAAGCCTGAAGGGACTATACCTAATCAGAAACTGTTGCTGCTCACGAAGGACTAATAATAGAGAGTTTGCTATTTCTTTTCTTTTTTTAAAAAAAAACCCCAATATCTGTCGAAATGGAAAACAGACATCAAAACGTTTTCAACGCCGTTCTTCCACTAGAGAGGGAAAAGATAGAAAATTCAAAGAAAACTGACACGATTCATGGCTTTTTAAAAATATTCTTTGTAGCAGCCTTAACCCATTTCATTACACCATCTATTTATCCCATCTCTTTTATTCGTGCTTTCTCTTTAACATACTGTATTCATAATTCCCAGCGTCATTTCATACTGTTATGGTTTCCTTAGAAGTGGCGTTGGCTTAACGACTTTGAGCCATTCCCATATTTCCTCTATTAACTCTTATGGTTGCTTAAGGGAAATGGACAGGAAGGTGCTGTTGGATTCAGGGGCTCTTAGAGATCCCCAGCAATTGGCTGAACAATTGAAACAGGAGCAAAGAGCTCCTCTATGAGATCCCACTATGCAGGTCCTTTAGGATAGCAAAGGACACCTGTATTGGGCTTGGACTAGTTGACCCTACCAAATCAATGAATCTGTCATTCAGAAGAGTGCTTCTATCATGCTGTTTTCTCTGCATTCTTGGTAAGTATACTCCACACACACATATACACAGACATGCTCGGGTCAGTGTATTGTATGTGTATATGTGTGTTGAGTCTTTGCACTCTTAAAGGCCATCCAGTCCACCTCCAATAGATGGATAGAGAGAGAAATAGAATGTTAGAGTTGGAAGGGACTCCCAAAGGCCATCTAGTCCACCTCCAATAGATAGATGATAGGTGATAGATAGATGGATAGATAGATTGAATCCTAGAGTTGGAAGGAACTTTCAAAGGCTATCCAGTCCACCTCCAATAGATAGACAGACAGACAGACAGACAGACAGACAGACAGACAGAATCCTAGAGTTGGAAGGGACTCCCAAAGACCATCCAGTTCACCTCTGATAGATAGATAGATAGATAGATAGATAGATAGATAGATAGACGTTCCTCATTGCGATGACTCCCTACAGCTCAACCAATCAATGCAGTGAGGTAGAACCATATTCTCTGAGGAAGTGGGAAGGGCCATCCAGTCCAACCTTCTGCCATGCGGGAAGACACAAGGAAAGCACTCCCAAAAGGTGTCACCCAACCTCTGTTGAAAGCTAAAAAGAGCCAGGACTGGAGGCCACCAAGTCATAACACCAGGGGCTAAAGGCAGGCTTAAGCCAACTATGCCCTAAAAACACTACGAAATCCATGAGATCACCATGAGTTGGCAAGGAAAGGCATGCGCGTGCACAACGGGTTGTGAGAAGAGTTTCGGGTGAGAAGTGCCTTACCAGAAGCCACTGCCTTGTGTTGGGAAGCAAGAAATGGTGGAGAAAAGGTAGGGCAGTGAGGTCACAAAGCCTCCTTGAAGAAAGTTCTTGAGGGTCAGTCACCTGGAGCAAGTGGACTGGGAATCATACAAGAGCAGGCAGCAGGCCAAGGCCTGTTGAGAGGGGAAGAGACGAAGAAGAAAGGAAGGAAGGAAGGAAGAAAGAAGTCTTGGTCCAGATCTACCTGCCCTCTCGACCTCTTTTGTCTCATGGAAGCTCCAGTTGCCATCTTGAGGGTGCAGCTCCCCTTTGAGACTCTTAAAAAAGCTCCCCTCGGAATTCGCTCCACCCGCAGCACCTTGTAAGATATCCATTCCCATCTATCACTATGAGGTCTCCTCTTCCACCCTGGATGCAACTGGTCACTCTGTTTCTGGCCCTCCAAGTCCCAGCGGCAAAAGCCTTCATCCGGGCCATTTGCGGCCGCAATGCCACTGCGCTTGATTTCGAGGCCTTGCCGGCCCTTTTTGGGGGGCCCATCCCGCAGGGAGGGCTAGCGGGGTTGCTTGTTGAGGCGAAGCCCTCAGATGCCTGCCGGCCCATTGAGGGCCCGCCAAACGCCACCGCCGCCTTCATTGTCCTTATCCCCCGATATGGCTGTTCCTTCGCTGCCAAGGTCTTTCATGCCCAGCAAGCGGGCTTCCGGGCCGCCATT